TGCTGTACATAGTGTATATAGTGTACATACTTCATTTCTAAATTGGTGAACTTGGAGTTTACCTGGAGAGTGTTCCGGGGGTCAACGCCCCCGCGGCCCGGACTGTGACCAGGCCTCCTGGTGGATCAGAGCCTGATCAACCAGGCTGTTACTGCTGGCTGCACGCAAACCAACGTACGAGCCACAGCCCGGCTGGTCAGGAACCGACTTTAAGTGCTTGTCCAGTGCCAACTTGAAGACTGCCAGGGGTCTGTTGGTAATCCCCCTTATGTATGCTGGGAGGCAGTTGAACAGTCTCGGGCCCCTGACACTTATTGTAAGGTCTATTAACATGCTAGTGACACCCCTGCTTTTCATTGGGGGGGTGTTGCATCGTCTGCCAAGTCTTTTGCTTTCGTAGTGAGTGATTTTCGTGTGCAAGTTCAGTACTAGTCCCTCTAGGATTTTCCAGGTGTATATAATCATGTATCTCTCCCGCCTGCGTTCCAGGGAATACAGGTTTAGGAGCCTCAAGCGCTCCCAATAATTGAGGTGTTTTATCTCCGTTATGCGCGCCGTGAAAGTTCTCTGTACATTTTCTAGGTCAGCAATTTCACCTGCCTTGAAAGGTGCTGTTAGTGTGCAGCAAAATTCCAGCCTAGATAGAACAAGTGACCTGAAGAGTGTCATCATGGGCTTGGCCTCCCTAGTTTTGAAGGTTCTCATTATCCATCCTGTCATTTTTCTAGCAGATGCGATTGATACAATGTTATGGTCCTTGAAGGCGAGATCCTCCGACATGATCACTCCCAAGTCTTTGACGTTGGTGTTTCGCTCTATTTTGTGGCCAGAATTTGTTTTGTACTGTGATGAAGATTTAATTTCCTCATGTTTACCATATCTGAGTAATTGAAATTTCTCATCGTTGAACTTCATATTGTTTTCTGCAGCCCACTGAAAGATTTGGTTGATGTCCGCCTGGAGCCTTGCAGTGTCTGCAATGGAAGACACTGTCATGCAGATTCGGGTGTCATCTGCAAAGAAAGACACGGTGCTATGGCTGACATCCTTGTCTATGTCGGATATGAGGATGAGGAACAAGATGGGAGCGAGTACTGTGCCTTGTGGAACAGAGCTTTTCACCGTAGCTGCCTCGGACTTTACTCTGTTGACTACGACTCTCTGTGTTCTGTTAGTGAGGAAATTATAGATCCATCAATAGACTTTTCCTGTTATTCCTTTAGCACGCATTTTGTGCGCTATTACGCCATGGTCACACTTGTCGAAGGCTTTTGCAAAGTCTGTATATATTACATCTGCATTCTTTTTGTCTTCTAGTGCATCTAGGACCTTGTCTTAGTGATCCAATAGTTGAGACAGACAGGAGCGACCTGTTCTAAACCCATGTTGCCCTGGGTTGTGTAACTGATGGGTTTCTAGATGGGTGGTGATCTTGCTTCTTAGGACCCTTTCAAAGATTTTTATGATATGGGATGTTAGTGCTATCGGTCTGTAGTTCTTTGCTGTTGCTTTACTGCCCCTTTTGTGGAGTGGGGCTATGTCTGTTGTTTTTAGTAACTGTGGGACGACCCCCGTGTCCATGCTTCCTCTCCATAGGATGGTAAAGGCTCGTGATAGGGGCTTCTTGCAGTTCTTGATGAACACGGAGTTCCATAAGTCTGGCCCTGGGGCAGAGTTCATGGGCATGTCATTTATCGCCTGTTTGAAGTCATTTGGCGTCAGGATAACATCGGATAGGCTTGTGTTAACCAAATTCTGTGGCTCTCGCATAAAAAAATCATTTTGATCTTCGACTCTCAGTCTGGTTAGCGGCTTGCTAAAAACTGAGTCATATTGGGACTTGAGTAGCTCACTCATTTCCTTGCTGTCATCTGTGTAGGACCCATCTTGTTTAAGTAGGGACCCAATACTGGACGTTGTTCTCGACTTTGATTTGGCATAGGAGAAGAAATACTTTGGGTTTCTTTCGATTTCATTTATGGCTTTTAGTTCTTCCCGCGATTCCTGACTCCTATAAAATTCCTTTAGCTTAAGTTCGATGCTTGCTATTTCTCTGACCAGTGTCTCCCTACGCATTTCAGATATATTGACCTCTTTTAGCCGCTCTGTTATTCTTTTCCATCGTCTGTAAAGGAAGCGCCTGTCTCTTTCTATTTTACATCTACTCCTCCTTTTTCTTAGAGGAATAAGCCTTGTGCATACATCGAGTGCCACCAAGTTAATCTGTTCTAGGCACAAGTTGGGGTCTGTGTTGCTTAGTATATCTTCCCAGCTTATATCGGTTAGGACTTGGTTTACTTGGTCCCACTTTATGTTTTTGTTATTGAAGTTGAATTTGGTGAATGCTCCCTCGTGACTAATCTCATTATGTTGGTCTGGGGCTCCGCGCATACATGTCTGAACCTCAATTATGTTGTGATCTGAGTATATTGTTTTTGATATGGTGACATTTCTTATCAGATCATCATTGTTAGTGAAGATGAGGTCTAGTGTATTCTCCAGTCTAGTAGGCTCTATTATTTGCTGGTTTAAATTGAATTTTGTGCAGAGATTTAAAAGCTCGTGTGAGTGTGAGTTTTCATCAGAGCTGCCTCCTGGTGTTATTACTGCAACAATATTATTTGCTATATTCCTCCATTTTAGGTGCCTTAAGTTGAAATCCCCCAGGAGCAAGATGTTGGGTGCAGGAGCTGGAAGATTTTCCAGATAGTGGTCAATTTTTAACAGCTGTTCCTGGAATTGCTGGGATGTTGCATCCGGAGGCTTGTAGACTACCACAATGACTAGGTTTTGGTTCTCGACCTTTACTGCTAAAACTTCCACTACATCATTTGAGGCATTAAGCAGTTCTGTGCAAACAAGTGACTCTGCAATGTACAGGCCAATCCCCCCCTTTTGAAGGATAATATAAGTCAAAAGTTTTTCTGCTTTGCTTATTTTGCTCCCTTTGCATCCAGGATAACAGGCCATTTGGACTCCTGGGTTGTAATATGGGTAGCCTGTCCGAGAGCTGGAGCTGGAGCTGGATTTAGAGAAAGGGTTGAGCCTAGGGTGAAGCTGGAAGGAGGAACATTGTGTAGCTTGCTGTCTGGCACTGCATTAGCTTTGCCAACACTATACAAACTTTGCGTGTCAGTTGCTTTGCTATGGTCAGCCTTGCTATTGTATGCTCGTTCAACAGCTCGCTACTAGCTTGTTCAGGTGTGCTCGCTTCGCTACGATCAATCTTGTGGAACAGTGTGTAGCTTGCTGTCTGACATTGCATTAGCTTTGCCAACACTTTACAAACTTTGCATGTCAATTGCTTTGCTATGGTCAGCCTTGCTATTGTATGATCGTTCAACAGCTCACTACTAGTTTGTTCAGTGTGAAGATTTTTTGCAGTCAGCTTTGCTATTGCGTATCCACCTTGTAAGTGTATGCGTATTCTGCAATCGTACTGTGCATAGCTAAGCGTGTTCTGTAAATAACGTGTTACATTGGGGTATTCCGCAATCGTACTGTGCATAGCAAATAACTTATACACTGGGGTATGCCACCTAGTCGAGTCAGACGTCTGGTATCGGCATATACCTTGTTTAACCTACCTAAATTGTCCCTACAACGTTGTTGGCAAATTGCTCGTTCCATTGGCATTGATTACGAACGCACTCTCACAGCTGCGCAAGTGAGTTCACTGATCACTGACAAACTTCGAGAAGAGGAAATGGCACATCAAACTCCTCCTCTATGGGAAGCAGGAATAAAACTCCGATGTTGTCGCAGGAGGAAGATGATACATCAACGGAGCAAAATCGTCAGTCTAGTGCAACAGGGTTGTCTCAAGGTGAATCAGTGGCATTGGCACTTGAACTGGCAAAAATCAATCTTGAGCAGATTAGGGAACAGAGAACATTTGCAAAAGAAGAGTTTGATTGGGAAATAGAAAGAAGGCAGTTTTCTCAAGTTGTAAATGATTTTAGTTTACAGAAAGCAGTACAGTTTGTTCCCCGCTTCAATGAGGCCGAACCAGAACAATTTTTCAAAGCTTTCAAAAATCATGCTCGAGCCTTGAGGTGGCCGGAACAGCATTGGACATCGTTGGTTCACACAGCATTGTTGGTAAGGCACAGGAATTTACGTCTTTAAATACGTCAGAAACAGTGGCGTGTAAGATGTATATATACCACGTAAACAGTCAAAGGGTTAAGTTCGATTTTTTTTTGGTAAAAAAAATTTTTTTTTTACCATTTTCTTTAATTTTCTCACCAAAAGCGCTCGCCCCTCCCTTAATGTTTCTGGAAAAACTCCGAGTGTTGAAAAGAGGTTACCTCTTCCCAGGATTTATACGAGAACAAAACAAGGGACACAAGGGACGAGGTGCCTCACTACATTCTGGGATTAGTGTGGGAGTATTATCCTTCCAGTTATGTCTTGGAAGAGCATGTGGGATGGGAAGATGTATGTGACATTCCTCTGAAACAGAGTTGGATTTGACTTCAGATACGCCGCCAATTAGTGGCGACGTATCTGAAACTCGCTTGTAACTAGGATTTCGGCTTGCAACTCAAAGCAAAAAATTGGCCGAGCGAAAGTTTGTATGTAAGTTGGGGCACTCATAAGTCAAGGTACCACTGTATTATTATTATTAAGAAGCAGTAAACCCATAAGGATTACAAGTAAGGTAAATTACTATTTTAACCCTCAAACTGTCCAAATAGATCTACATTCACATGCTTAGTGCTCCAAAACGTAGATCTACGTTTTTTTTTTTTACATATTTTCAAATATAACAAAAAAACGATCAAAGTTTTTTTTACACATTTTCAAAAGTAAAAAAAGAATAAGAAGCTCTACGTTTTTTTACATACTTTTAAGTGTTGAAAAAACGTAGATCTACGTTTGGACAGTTTAAGGGTTAACACCGACCCTAAAAAGGTAAACTCTAGGGTATAAATGGTGTGATAAAGCCATATGAGTGGCATCAATGTGTGTAAATGATGTGGTAAACCCATAGAGGTGGCACTGATGTACCGTAACATATTTAAACCCAAAGGTAAACCCATATGGGTATGTATTGACGCACCTTGATGCTCCTAAACCCCAGCTGGTTGGCGTCCTGGGCCTTAGCGATGATGTCGGTAGCGATGTGGAATCCGTCTTGGTCTGTGATGAGGTGTAGTCTCAGGGGCGCCGTCGTTGATGCCAGCAGCGACGTTGCAGCAACAGCCAGCTTGCGTTGCAGCTCCTGGCTCTTTCGTGCATGTGTGAAGATGAACGCCACATCCAGGGGGGCCCGGTACAGCAGGTCGTTCTCCCTGGGGTCCAGGGCCATGTCCATAGGGTCCAGGGCCATGTCCATGGGGTCCAAGGCCACGTTCAGGGGCGCCCGGTACAGCAGGTCATTCTTCCGGGGGTTTGGGGCCATGTCCTTGGGGTCCAGGGCTACCGGGTCGTCTATTGGCCTGGGTATTGGTGGGGGGGCCATGTCCCTTCGGCAAAGGAGGAGGAGGACAGAGGCACTGGCGATCAAAGCCAGCGCCACCGCACTGGCTTGTCTGGCTTTTAGAGCCATCGCTGGGTTGACCTGCCTTCAGGAAGGGTGGCAATGTGTGTCGGACAGTTGGCAACACGCCTCGGACATGTCATGAACGTGTCTTGACGGACCAACAGCAGGCTTGAGGGACCTACGACAGTACTGAACGTGTCTTGATGAACCTACGACGGTAGTGAACGTGTCTTGATGGACCTACGACAGTACTGAACGTGTCTTGATGGACCTACGACGGTACTGAACGTGTCTTGACGGGCCTACGACAGTACTGAACGTGTCTTGATGGACCTACGACGGTAGTGAATGTGTCTTGATGGACCTACAACAGTACTGAACGTGTCTTGATGGACCTACGACAGTACTGAACGTGTCTTGACGGACTTACGACGATAGTGAACGTGTCTTGATGGACCTACGACAGTACTGAACGTGTCTTGATGGACCTACAACAGTACTGAACGTGTCTTGACGGACCTACGACAGTACTGAACGTGTCTTGATGGACCTACGACGGCAGTGAACGTGTCTTGATGGACCTACGACAGTACTGAACGTGTCTTGATGGACCTACGAGGGTACTGAACGTGTCTTGATGGACCTACGAGGGTACTGAACGTGTCTTGATGGACCTACGACAGTACTGAACGTGTCTTGATGGACCTACGACGGTAGTGAACGTGTCTTGATGGACCTACGAAAGTACTGAACGTGTCTTGATGGACCTACGACAGCACTGAACGTGTCTTGATGGACCTACGACGGTACTGAACGTGTCTTGATGGACATACGACGGTACTGAACGTGTCTTGATGGACATACGACAGTACTGAACATGTCTTGATGGACCTACGACGGTACTGAACGTGTCTTGATGGACATACGACAGTACTGAACGTGTCTTGATGGACATACGACAGTACTGAACATGTCTTGATGGACCTACGACGGTATGAACGTGTCTTGATGGACATACGAAGTACTGAACGTGTCTTGATGGACATACGACAGTACTGAACATGTCTTGATGGACCTACGACGGTACTGAACGTGTCTTGATGGACATACGACAGTACTGAACGTGTCTTGATGGACATACGACAGTACTGAACATGTCTTGATGGACCTACGATGGTAGTGAATGTGTCTTGACGGACCTACGACAGTACTGAACGTGTCTTGACGGACTTACGACGGTAGTGAACATGTCTTGACGGACTTACAACGGTCTTGGACACATCTCAGTCTTGAACAGGTTCTGAACGTGTTTATAAGACATGTTGAACAGGCATCTAACGCGTCACAAACATGTCTTCAACTCTTCTCTACTCAGCTCCAACAATCTTCCTCTCACCAACAAAATACAGAAAGCTTCCTCCAACAGTACCTCTACCTTCTCCAACACTCTTTAAACCTCCACCAACATTCCAGCTTCCTCCAACACCCAATTCGGAGAGCTCCGGTCTCCTCCAACACTAAAGTCAGCTCCTATGTCTCCACTATTTCAGTCTCCTCCAACATTATTTCATGGAGCTCCTGTCTCCTCCATCACTTTCAACCTCCACCAACACTATTCCAGCTTCCTCCAACACTATTTCAGTCTCCTCCAACACTATTTCAGTCTCCTCCAACACTATTTCAGTTTCCTCCAACACTATTTCAGTCTCCTCCAACACTATTTCAGTCTCCTCCAACACTATTCCAGCTTCCTCCAACACTATTTCAGTCTCCTCCAACTATTTCAGTCTCCTCCAACACTATTTCAGTCTCCTCCAACACTATTTCAGTCTCCTCCAACACTATTCCAGCTTCCTCCAACACTATTTCAGTCTCCACCAACACTATTCCAGCTTCCTCCAACACTATTCAGTCTCCTCCAACACTATTTCAGTCTCCTCCAACACTATTCCAGCTTCCTCCAACACTATTTCAGTCTCCTCCAACTATTTCAGTCTCCTCCAACACTATTTCAGTCTCCTCCAACACTATTTCAGTCTCCTCCAACACTATTCCAGTCTCCTCCAACACTATTTCAGTCTCCTCCAACACTATTCCAGTCTCCTCCAACACTATTTCAGTCTCCTCCAACACTTATTTCAGTTCCTCCAACACTATCCAGTCTCTCCAACAATTCCAGTCTCCTCCAACACTATTTCAGTCTCCTCCAACACTATTCCAGTCTCCTCCAACACTATTCCGGTCTCCTCCAACACTATTTCAGTCTCCTCCAACACTATTCCAGTCTCCTCCAACACTATTTCAGTCTCCTCCAACACTATTCCAGCCTCCTCCGACACTTATTTCAGTGCCCCGGTCTTCTCCACCACTACAACAGTCTCCTCCACCACTACAACAGTCTCCTCCAACACTCCATCATCTCCTCCAACGTAAACAAGGAACATCTGTCACTCTGCCGTCACTCCCCCCAAACATTTTCAGGATAATCCACATCACCCCAAAAATTCCCCAAATTAAACCGCCCATCTCCCCAAAACACAAATTCACACATATACACTTTAATCCCAGATAAAATTTATATATAGTCACACCAGTTCTTCCCCAACAGACTTTCATAGATAATGCAAGTAACCACAAACATTTTCGACTTCCAGCATTATATTTTATTTTTAGGCGTCATATAAATCCAAAAATCTTAATTTATATATAATTTATAAGTTTTAAAAGAATCTAGCGAGGAAATAGAAGTCCAAATGAACTTATATAGGCGATATAGCAAGAATACATATACAACTCCTGACTACCGGGGGGGAGGTCAGCATTTTGGGGACACGTAAACGTAAACATCTTTCCCTTTTATTTTATTTTTTTTTCAAAAATGTGTAAAACATTATGCAAATTATTTTTTTCGGAATTCATATATAATCAGCATAATTTATTTAGCCGTAGAATGTTAATATATGATTATTTAACTGATGGTATAAATGTAATGTCTTTAGCTCTAATAATAATAATAATAATAATATAATAATAATAATAATATTAATAATAATTTAAAAATAAAAAATAATAATTTAAAAATAATAATAATAATTAAAAATAATAATA